AGCTCACAGCAAACTCCTGGGCTCAAGCGATCCCCTTGCCTCAGCCTCCCAAGTAGCTGGGACTATAGGCACCTGCCACAATGTCTAAGTAGTTTTTCTATTTTTAGAAGAGACAGGGGTCTCACTCTTGCTCAACTCGAACTCCTGAGCTCAAGTGATCCACCTGCCTCGCCCCCCAGAGTGCTAGGATTACAGGCGTGAGCCACCGCGCCTGGCCAGCTCTGGGTCTTCTGATTCTTTGCGTCTCTGTCTGCTGCTAGTCATCTGTGAGACTCACCAGGAGCGTAAAGGTGCTGTGGCCAGTGAACTGCTCGTGCTACGTGGGTGTGTTAGATGGGTGAAGAAACTAGTTCCTGAATTGTTAATTTATTTCCTTGATTATAAACTGTCTTTATGGGAAGCCCTGGGAGCCCATCCATAAGTACGGAACACTATTATTCAGGTCCTCCGTAAGCTGGGGACAGCCTGTACTAAAATTATTTGTTGTGATGCTCTTAGACAAAAAGGCCGTGAGAGGGTCTGAGCCCAAGTCGGTGGCCCTGCGTGGTGTACTGTGGGTGCATCGGATGTGGGGGCCAGGGAGAGCTGACGCAGGACCCTCTGTGCTAACTTTGCCACTACTCCTAAGCCTTACACCATTTCAAAACACAGAGTTAAAGCAAAAACTAAATGGCACATCCACCATCCAGTTTAAGACATAACACATTGTTGACGTAGTTAAATCCAGAGCGGTCACCATCCTGAACTTGATTTCTCTTCAAATGGTTCACATCAGTATTTTTTTCCTTACATGGATGTCCCCTTACACAATGTGTGGTCTCCTTCTGCCTATTTTGTTTGTTTGTTTGTGTTTTTTTTTGTTGTCGTTTTTTCAAGACAAAATCTCACTCTGTCACCATGGGTGGAGTGCTGTGGCATCGTAGCTCACAGCAACCTCAAACTCTTGAGCTCAAGTGATCCTCCTGCCTCAGCCTCCCACTTGGCTGGGACTATGGGCACCTGCCACAATGCCCAGCTAATTTTTCAATTTTTAGTAGCAATGGGGTCTTATTGTTGCTCAGGCTGGTCTTGAACTCCTGAGCTCAAGCAATCCACCCTCCTTGGCCTTGCAGAGTGCTGGGATTACAGGTGTGAGCACCGCGCCCGGCCTCATTCTGCCTATTTTTATGTGTATCCGTGGCATCACCCTGTGTGTGTTCTTTGGCAGCTGGCTTTGTGCTCACCTCTGGTGCTTTTCACACCAGTGATATGTTAGTTACATTTGTCCCCAGTGCAGGAAGTCCCTGATTTTGGCACCTCTCCCCAGGGTGGACTCCACCTTCTTTCCCTCCTGAATGATTTCTTTGTGGCTGCATCGCTTCTTGTTGGCGTCACCATCAGGGTCACTGCTGTTCTTCTTATAGGTCCAGGCAGGTTGTGGAGTGTGTGTCTGTGTCACAGGATTTCAGCCCCTGCTTCTGCGGAGCCGCGGCACCCTCCGAGGCAGGAGCTCAGCGCTGGGGAGGCTGGATGGACACACCTCACGTACTAGCGCAGCAATGGTTTTCTTCACTGTGGTGAAGAATAAAATAAACCATTTTATTTTTAAGAATAAAATCGACCATTTGAAAGTGAACCCTTGAGTGTTGTTCAGTACATTCACAGTGTCGCACAGCCATCACTGCTAGAGCACTTTCGTCACCCATGACACCCTCTACCCTTTACAGTCGCCCCGTCTTCCGCACCCCCAAGCCTCTGGCAGCCAAGCTTCTGTTTTCTGTCTCTGTGGACTTGCCTGTTTCTGGACATTTCATGTGACTGGAATCATATAATATGAGGACTCTGGTGCTGGGCTTCTTTCTATAGGGTGATGTTTTTGGGGTCCGTGTGGTGCCACGTTTCAGCGTGTCCTTTCTTAGGGCTGGACGATGTCCATTGTCTGCGTGGTGCCACGTTTCAGCATGTCCTTTCTTCTTAGGGCTGGACAATGTCCATTGTGCGGGTGGAGCATGGTTTTGGGGTCCGTTGGTGCCACGTTTCAGCGTGTCCTTTCTTAGGGCTGGACGATGTCCATTGTGCGGGTGGAGCGTGGTTTTGGGGTCCGTGTGGTGCCATGTTTCAGCGTGTCCTTTCTTCTTAGGGCTGGACAATGTCCATTGTGCGGGTGGAGCATGGTTTTGGGGTCCGTTGGTGCCACGTTTCAGCATGTCTTTTCTTCTTAGGGCTGGACAATGTCCATTGTGCGGGTGGAGCATGGTTTTGGGGTCCGTTGGTGCCACGTTTCAGCATGTCCTTTCTTAGGGCTGGACGATGTCCATTGTGCGGGTGGAGCATGGTTTTGGGGTCCGTTGGTGCCACGTTTCAGCATGTCCTTTCTTCTTAGGGCTGGACGATGTCCATTGTGCGGGTGGAGCACGTTTGTTTTTCCCTTTATCAGCTGATGGACAGTGGTTTCCTCCTTCTGTCTGTGATGAACTGCTGCTGTGAGCATCTGTACGCAAGTTTGTTTGGACACCTGTTTAAGTATTTTGGGTGTACACTGAGAGGGAACTGCTGGGTCATGGGTGATTGTAGGTCTGACTTACCGTGGAGCCCTTAGACTGCTTGCTACATAGCTGCCCTGTTTCCCGTTCCCTGAGGCACCGTACGCGGGTTCTGATTTCTCTACTTGTTCTTTTCCATTTAAAAAAAATTGGTCGTAGCTGCCCTAGAGGGTGTGCAGTGGTGCCCCGTGTGGCCTTGATACCCGAGACACTGGGCATCTTGTCACAGGCTTGTCCCACAGCTGCGTTTTGAGATACGTAACCTGGGCCCCATTTGCAGAATGAGAAACTGAGGTTTAGGGGACAGTAACTTGTGCAGGGTCACTCGGTGTGGGCAGGAGGTCTCCAGGTGGTCTGACTTGGGAGCCTGCTAAGCTCTGCTGGCCCTTTTCTGAGGCTCTTGCAGTGTCCTGGGGTTCTGGGGAAGGCCCCCGATTGCATCTGCGCTACTGGTGGGTTGGCCTGTATCTGGTGGTCCAGACTGGAGAGGTAGAGTGGGAGGGGCGTTGTAAGGGTGAGAGGAAAGAATTCCAAAGTCTCCATAATGTCCTTGGGCAGTTAGAAGAATCAGAGGCTTGGTGAAGTCAGGCAACGCCAGAGACCTGCAGCGCAGAAAGGGGGTACGCTGCAGTCACCGCGGCCTGTGCACGCCAGCCCAGTGTTGGATTCTCCCTGTGGAATCGGTCCATTCGTTGTCAGAGCCCTGTAGACACTAAAGGTTCCTTTCTTTCCCCACTGGGGACCTGGTGACACACACTTTGGGGACATGGGGCAGGCTTAGCCGTGCCTGCTGCCTGCTCGTATGTCGAGCGCAGACAGCCTGCTGCCCCAAGACAATGCTGAGACACATGCGGAGACGTTTCTTCCGTGTTCCCAGAACACGGTGCGTCTTTTCCCACTGACAGTGGGAACTGGTCCTGGCCATGTGGGCAGGCACCTGTCATGGTGTCCTCTTGGAGTCTAGCCCAGGGACAAACCCTGGTGACATTCTTTTAGTGGTAAACGTGCCAGGGCCTGGACTCCCCTCTCCTGTGAGGGGCTCGGGGCTTGCTGCTGGCCATTTGTGAACACCCACAAAGGGCTGGCACCCTTAACACAGGCTCCTCGGATGTGGCCCTCAGCTGCCTGTCCCTTGGGATTAGTGGCTTCTGAAGGCTTCCAGGGGGTCAGCTGAGGTGCAAGAAGCCACATTTACCTTCCTGAGGGTGCAGTGGACTCCAGGTGGGAGGATGGTCAGGGAACAGGACATGCCTCACACAGTGGGTACACTTCCATCCAGAGCCT